AAAAAAAATGAAGTCCTGTTACTTGCAATAACATGGATGGAACTTGAAACCAACATGTTAAGTGAAATAAGTCAGGCAAGGAAAGACAGATACTGTATGATCTCACTCACACGTAGAATTTAAAGAGAAAAAAAAGTGGTTCTCATAGAAGTAGAGAGTAAAATAATGGTTACCAGAGTCCGGGAGGGGAAGGCGGGGGAGTGTTGGGGGAGGGAAGGGAGGGATTAATGGGCTTGAAGAAGTTACAGGTAGACAGGAAGAGTAAGTTTTAGTATTCTAGAGCTAATAATATTATATTGTATACTTCTAAAAAGCTAGAAAAAAAGATGATCTTGACTCTAAACACCATAAAGAAAAGATAAATGTCTAGGTGATGGATATGCTATCTCCCCTAAGTGAATCATTGTACAATATATGTATGTATTGAAACAATACACTGCACTGCACAAATATATTTTGTATATATTTATTTTGTACTGCACAAATTAAATTTTTTTAAAAAAGGATCCAGTGATGTCCATCATAAACTGATTACTAAATTTACGTGCCAGTTGCACACAAAGCGATATACAGTGTTCTCCTGACCCACAAGTTACCTTACAATCCTCCATTACACATAAAAAGAAGCAACTAAAAGAATTATTTCTGATAAAAATAAAAATAAAGCCAAATTATTTTTCTCTGTTTATTCTGGATAAGAATCCTGGAAGGCAGTTTAAGCATTTTATAACACATTGGTAAATGAATTGTAATGGACAATCTGTAGGATATGTTCGGAAAACCTGCTATTTAAATACAACTTATCTTTTTAAAATATTGTTTATTATATTAAGAGCTGGAATATTTATTAAATGACAGAAAAAAATAATACTGAAAGGAAATATGTCAATATATTAAAAATAAAAAGAAATTCTTACCAAATTCCTTTGGTACGGTTATTGAATAGAGGCATATTTGACCAGCTGTGTAATTGTGAGGGTAGTTTGGTGATAAAACAACCCCTTCTGATCCCATGTACTGGCCTCCACAGGGAGCTGAAAACAAAATTAACCAGTAACTAGTGCTGCACAATAATAACACTGTGAGTGACAGGTGAGCTAAAGCTGAAAAGTATAAAATAAATGAGCAGCATGCCATGTTTATTTAAAAATTTAACTAAATATTAAAGTTAAAATTTTCTTTTACATTGCTATCAAAACTAATAGAAAAATAAGAACAAAGATCTACCACATTATAATAAAAGTAATTCAACTTAGGGGAAAGCCTTAATATTATTTTCAAGACCTGTCTCAGGGATGATCAAACAATAATGTAAACAGCCATAATAATAATAAAACAGGTTTGGTAAAGACAACTGACTGAATTACTTCAGAAGACTCATCAGAACTGTCTGGTTGATGTCAATTATCATACTAAGAGATACAAAGATTATTTCAATTTTGTATAGTCTTGTTGGGAAAATAGAATAGTTTAATCAGGCCCCCTTGCCTCATATCTGGTTGGGTGTGGTGCAGCACATTCTTTGTAAACAAATTGTGTGTGTGCGTGTGTGTGCGTGCGTGTGTGTGTGTGTGTGTGGAGTCAGTGTGCATGCGCACCAATGCATCTTTTTAGTTTTGTTGCTATTTTGTGTTCTAGAGTTGTGTGGAGCAGCGGCCTGAACTGCTGGTCAGCAGAGAGCTTGCATCTAAAAATAG